AAAAAAAAAAGCTTAAAATGGTAAATTTTATCTTATGTAGGTTTTACCCTAATTTTAAAAAGTTTTAAATATCAAAGCAAGACTTTTTTTTTTTTTTGGTAAATGTAGATAAACTTAATCTAAAATTTATACAAAAAGGCAGAGAGTCTACAATAGCTGTAACAAGTGTGAAAAAGAAGAATAAAGTGGGAGGAATCACTGTATATAATGTTAAGGTTTATTATTTAGTTACAGTAATCAAGACTTTGTGGTTGTTGGTGGAGGGATAGACAGATCAAGGAATAGAATAAAGAACCCTGAAACAGAACCACACAAATATGTCGATACGATTTTTGACAAAGAAACAAAGACAATTAATTCAGTGGAGGAAGGATAGCCTTTTCAAATAAGTACCGCTGGAACAATTAGGCAACAACAGACAAATAAATGAACTTTGATCTAAACCTCACATCTTAAACAAAATCAGCTCATTATAGATCATACCTTTTTTTTCCTAAGTAAAGTGGACACTTATTCAGCCTCTTGTCATGTCAAAATGTTTTGTGCATATGCTACTATAATTAGCACACCCTCTGTAACAGGCAAAATTGTACATCAAATTATATTTCATGTTACCTCATTATATAAAAATATAAAGTAAAAATGACCTATCATTTCCATGTAACATTACTATTAAACAGTTCAGCAGTAGATAATGAAGCATGAAATCTTAGTAAAATATGATACAGGAAGAGCATAATGTAATTCTCACTTGTTATTTGTTATGAATATACAAAGGCAAATTTTTTAAATGTTATATTTACTGAGATTCTGGCAATAGCTTTATGTAACAAGATACAGCATACCAGACCTGCCACTCAACTTGTTTATGGTAACTCTCAGCTTCAATCTGAAGCTGTTTAAAAAAAAACAAAAAAACAAATCAAAAGCCTGCTTTTTTTTTTTTTTTTAACATGCTAAGTATTTTGGCAAGTGTACTGTTAAACACAGTAAGAAATTTAAGATAGCAAGAATAAGAAGGTAATAAAAAGTACCTGTGTCTATTTGAAATGATTCCTCTCGAAAGCCAAAGTGTAGTCCAAATTAATTCAAATGTTATAACACATTCTCATGCTAAAAAACATTCAATATTATTGAAGTGGAGGTAAATCCCAGAACTTCGGGGGCTCTGCCATGCTGCAAAGAGCTGTTTCTCTGGTTCACTTGACAGAGTCCAAGGATATCAAAGGGCAAGACTGCTGTACGCAGCTCTGACCTCCCATGAAGCATGGCTACTATGTCCTCAAAAATAGGATGTGTGAGGATAAAAGGCACGCTATTCTGCTAGCTAAAGAGATAGCACCCTCCCCCTCAAAAGCCCATTCCCAAGATAAATGAAAGTATTTAAGGGCAAAAAATTAAAATACACTTACCTACAGAGTAAGGATTTTGAAATAATCAATGTGATTGCTATTTCAGAAATGTTAACTGAAGTCATCTGGTCATTTCTGATTACATCTTAATGATGTGTCCACGTTCAATTTCTGTGGACTCATCATTAGATACTTCTAGTCAAAAATATTAATTTTAGGAACTCTTGGGTGGCTCAGTCGGTTAAGTGTTCAACTCTTGATTTCAGCTCAGGTTATGATCTCACTGTTTGTGAGATAGAGCCCTGCATCGGGCTGTGCACTGGTCGGGCTCTGCACTGACAGTGCAGAGCCTGCTTGGGG